CGGCACACATACTCACACAAACACACTCAGAGCGAGAGAGCGAGAAAGAGTGAGAGCCATCTGGAAGTGAAAGTGGACACGCAACAAGCTAAACTGGGAACGTAGCCAAATGCCATCACCTGAAGCCACCTGCTCTAACGTCTGGCGCTTGGGAGTTACTTGAATGGGAAAGGTTTGCGTGTTTGACATGCGGCTTGGTTAAAGTTGGGTCCTTGTCGCTTGGGGTCGGCCGTTTCGAAGGCGATATCGTTAATGTTGCCGTTGATTGCGCGCCCAACACACACAAACACACAGGATTCGCTTTGAGCTGGGCAACTGGCAACTGGCAACTGGCTCTGGTTTTAGTTTAGTTTTAGGCTGTAAACTTGGTTATTTATTTGGCAATTGGCAGTCGTTTGGCGCCAGAACCTTTCAAACAACCCAGACAAATGCAATTTTCGCTTGCCTGCTAAGCGTTTATTGGGATTTTAAACATAAACATGGCTAACAACATAATTCCAGCATAAACAAAAACAGCAGACACCAGCAACAACAGCAACAACATCTGCTGCTGCTGCTGCTGTTGACCCACAGTGACAATGAATGCCAGCTGGCAGCTGCAGCGAACGGAGCCCAGCACTCGGGGAAACATGCTAATTTGGGCGTAATAATTATGTGATGCGGCTTGCCGTGCATATAGAATGGGCTCATAATGATTGCAAGCTCCACATTATAATCATGCCCGAGACCAGAGTGTGTGTGTGTGTGTGTATGTGCTTGAAGGTGATTATCGCCTGCTGCAAGCCCTACATAAAGGAACTTCCAATTTGGTCGATATATTATAAATATAAATTATAATCGCGTTGCTTTAAAATGAATTTCTCGGGCGTGCAGATTACATCAATTCAAAAGCTTTATATATAATAATATAATAATAATAATTAAATTTTTTGTCATTTAAGGATTTTCCTTGCATTGATTTTAAATATAATATAAGGCAAATTTAAAGCGCACATTAAGTTTGTCTTAAATCATGAAATCGATCACAATCGATATCGAAATCTTGTTTTTTTTTTTTTAACAACTTTTAGAAGTTGCCTTGCAGCATTCAGAATACTTATAGAAATTCCATATACTTTTTTTACAGTACATTTAATTTAATTAATAAGTTTTCTTTGGGGGTGCTTTAAATATCTGGAGAAAATAGTAGAGCTCATAAAAAAATCGATAAAAATGACGAACATTAAAATTGGGTTGCAATTTGGTTAGCAGGGATATCTCTATATATAGTCCGATATTCTAGGATATCTGGTATTTATTCGCGATTACCTGCCATATTTATGATCTGTATGTTTTATAACATTTTCAAATCAAGAATGCTTTTTGCAAAGTGTGTAAGTAAGGCTAGAAGAAGCGAATGGTGTGTGTTTGCCTGTATAAATGATTGTAAGGGAAGAGCATAAATGATTTTTTTAAAATAAAATTAATATAGATAAATTTTCATTGCAACGCGGCTTGAGTTCAGGGTATCTCCTAGTCGGTCAATACCGACTAGACCCATTTGTATATCTTATTTGTTAAAAAAAATCTTTATTTATAACATGCTTACTAGACAGGTCCTTTTAGGTCCTTTCTGCTCACACAAGCACATGTACACACACAAGCCCATGCATTTCGTTTGTGTTGAATATTTCTAGGCACAACAGACACTTTTTGCAGCTAGTTGCTTGTTATTTGAAATTTTCGCGCCTGTGCCTTCGCATTGCATCGCGTAGCATGCAGTTATTTTGGTTGCCCCGTTGGTTTTATTGGCTGCATCAGTGGCACGGACCGTGCCACTGGCTCGCCATTACCAGGCTCGAGTGTCACGGCTGCTATTTATGCAGTTGCCGTCGACTGCGTCGAGAGTCCATAACCGGGCATCCAGAATCTGCCCGGAGCGATGTCATTACCAGTCACATTGGCGGCCCATTGGCACGGCCTGCGCCGCATGGCAGTTCCCGGTTTGGTTCTGGCAGCGTAGTCAACGCCAGCTTTGGCTTCATTCCGATTGTTAACAATTTTGCGGTGCATGGCCGTTGTCCTTTATGATGTGATGCCTGCACGAGTGACAGTTTGGGGGGCAGCTGTTGCTGTTGCTGACGGGCTGACTGCGTGAGTGAATGTGTGTGCTTGTGTGTTGCGTGTGCTATCATTAAGTGTCGAAAATTTCATCAAACACTTCAAAGCGGTATCACGTGCTGTTGCTGCTGCTCGCAAGCCCTGCTCCACTCCGTTTGCCCATGCCACGCCCCAGTTTCAGTTTATGATTCTATTATTTTCACAGCAAATAAAAGAGAAACTGCGTATCATGGCCAAGTGCTAAATGGGCGCCAGGGAAAATTGCGAAAATTTTCTTTCTTGTTTTTGTTGCTGTTTTTTTGTGTATGTGTTTTTTTTTTATATTTTTGCCTTGCTTTGCCAGAGCAGCCAAATTTAAACGCGCAAGGTGTAGAGGGTCACGGGCGGCGTGGCAGCTGAGCACGTAAAAAGCGTTGAACCGAAACGTTGTGGGCAACAGCTGCAGGGAAGTGTGTGTGTGGGTGTGTGTGTGTGTTGATGTGTTGGTGGTGTGCGTAAGGCCAAGGAAAACGAATTTTCAAGCGCACGAAAACTTTGCGCCATGAATCAAAGTTTAGTGTAGCATACTTTTTAGGTGCGATTTATATATTTCAAAATAAAATAAATGAAGGGCGTTCTCGTTTGGTGCCTCTGCTGCAGCTTCTCCTGCTGCTGCTCCTGCCAGCCAGCCAGCCAGCCAGCCAGCAAGCCCAAAAGACAAAGCAGCTATGCGGTGATTGAGTTGGGGTTGGAGCTGGCTTTTTCCTGGCTAAATTGCTACATTAGGGTGGAGGGGGAGGGGAGGGGGAACCGGGGGCTGCTGCTGGAGGCTGCGAGTTTGATTTAACTTTGGGTCTTTGGTGCAAATTCAAATTCTCTGTTTTATTTCAGCGCGCAGGAAATGCAAAAATTTACACTTGGTTAGCTGATTGATGAATGCATAAATGAAGCGTACACATGCGTTTTAAACAGGGGCGGGGGGCTCTGGATTCGATTGCTGACTGCAAGTTGAGCAATTTGCCGAAATGTCGTAGCACCAGCAGCACCAGGTGGAATACTCACATGTGTGTGTGTGTGTGAGTCCAGGCAGACTCCATTCTGATTTCACCCAAAATCGCTTACGTCACAATCCATTGGGTTTCTTATTGTTATGCACGAAATATGCAAATGTGATTTTTAACTTGAAAACGTTGCTCACATTTGGTTGCGGGATTTTCTCTTATTTTCATATACATTTTTTTTTTTGGCTTTAGCTGGTTTAACAAATTAACGTTATTTATTTGACAATGATTGGGGACCTGGCTAATGCGTCGTATGAGTAATGCGAGAGCTTTGCCCTTTCAGTGGCTGCGGCTTAATTAGATATAGGGTGAGCTTCAGGCCCAGAATATGATTTGTAAACATAATTTGGTTAGCGAGCCATGAACATAAAGTCAAATTTATTGCGACTGAGATTTCCAGTTGAATATGCGCTAGAAAAATGGCCAACGATGAGGAGCAGGACGGCAGTGAATTGCTGCATAATCTGCGCGGGTTATGTCCTGTCCTTGCCAGACAACGAAATATTCCCAAAAAATGAGGCAAAATTACTTTTAATATGCGTGGCCAGCGTACGCAAGGCCAGAAGCCATTCACCGAACTCTCGGCTTTCTTCGGCCCAGAGACTGACATTCAGAGATAAATGCGATCTATGGAAAGTTGGGCTAGAGAAGCAAAACAAAGGAGTCCTTGTCCAGGCAACGCTCAGTTAAATGCCGTCATGCATATATGTATGTAGCTACTATTTAGTTCGTTAGGCGTCAGAGGACAACATAATTTCGTAATTAATTTGCCAAAACACGAATGTAATTTAATAAAATTGCGCATACGCCGCGTTGCTCGGGCAAAAGAGCTATCCGAGCTACCCGTTCATTGTGGCGCAGCAGCATCTTCATTTCCTCGAAAAACATTTAAGTAATTTATGCAGGGCCTTAGACAATTTGCGGTGTTGCTGAGCACACGCTGCCGCCCCCAACTGCTGTGCATGCCTGCCCGCCTCCTTCCTATTCTGCCTTGGCCCTGGTCTGTGTATATTCAGGCAAAAGTAAGCGACGATTATTTATGGTCTATTTTTGAGCATGCCACTAATTATGCTGGCATTTGAGCCAGCGTCCCTGACAACGCTTCCAATTACTTGACGGAAATAAATCAGTTGCGCCAAATGGCGTGGGCCACAAATCCAATGCCAAATCAGCCAGTGTCGGTTCCGCGAATCGGAGCTGCCGCAGTATCGATTACGCTCAAGGCTGAAATGCAAAACTATTTTTAAATGTCCGGTTAGGAAATTATTATTAAGCCGTTGCTTTTAAATGGGCTACGAACTTACAGCTGATTCGAATACAAATTATGTTGGGCTTTGAAGTTGTTTCCAAGGATTTCACTAGAATTTTGGTGTATAACTCGTTCTACTGAGTTAAAGGGAAAAGCGTAATTATCAAATATCTGTATATACCTTATTATGCGATTTTCAGAAAATGAAGCCAAGACTTCAAAGCTGTATTTTATTTCACCAGCTCTTACTTTAACCCCCACTTCCTTTAAAAAGTTATTTCACCTGCTTTTTTGAATATACTCTTGATATACTTTTTAACATTTCTTACACATACTTCAACTCAGCCCATCAATAAAAAGTGAACTTTGAAATTCTCAATGCTTTCTAAAAGTATTTTATTTTAATATTGCCTTACTATGAGATTCTCAGCAAATTAATGTAAGACTTAGAGGCTTTTATAAGTTGTTTTAGCATTTAAATAACCTTAATTTCTGCACATACTTTCTCCCTAGCTGTCTCTCTCGCTCTCTGTCTCTTCATAGCTTATCTCTCTTTCTCCAGCTCTTAATCTAACCCACAATCCCTTTCTCTTGTTCTTTCAGTGAAAGTTTTTCTAATAAAGTTAGTTTGCCGCCTACTTATAGACGAGACTTAAATAATCAGTCTGTTGTATATCTTATTGCGGGTAAGTACATATTTACATATATTATCTATGAATACAGGAATGCATTTCAAAGCAATTCTCATATATTTTCCATCATACACACATACACTTCCATCCAGTCTAGGCAATAAAAAGTGGTCTTTGCCATTCGCAATGCCTTCTAAACTTTTCGTAAATCTCAATAGCTGCCACGCCTTGTTGCCTTTACGCTGCCCGCCCGCCGGCGGTTAAATCAATTGCCGCAATTTGATAATATTTCAGCAGGGAATTATTATGACTGGGCCGCAATCCCAACTGGCGAACCCCCCAACTCTAAATGGGACCCCCCTAGAACGCCGTTGCGTTGGCCGTTTTGTTGACATTTCCGTTGCCGCTTCCGCTAAAAGTTTGTTTTTCCTGGCTATCCTCCATCATCCCTCAATCTCCGCCAGCAGCAGCAGCAAAACAATGTCCCCCGCTGCCCGCATCTATTGCCACTTCACGGCCCATATGGCGCTTCTCGTTGTGTCCTTGGCAGCCACGTAAAAAGGATTTGGGGCAACGCATTTCGCATGCCTAAATGCCAAAAGACGTCGCATAAACATGGCAAGCCACGCCCCCCGCAGCGCCCCCCAATAACGTCTTTGAATTACACTCCAGCTACAGAGAGCTGCAAAAAAATGTGTATATATATATATAAATATAGAAGAAAAACGCGCAGGACAGCAAAAAAAATATAATTTTTTTGTTTGCCGCTTTGCCGGTTTTTCTCTGCGGTTTTCTTTTTCGCTTCGGGTTGTGTGCGCATTTGGCGGTTTTTATGAAAAATTACCATGTTTTCTTCGCACTCATTCGCAGCTCCCTACCCCTTCACCCGCACAGCTTTAGGCCCCGTCACTGGGCAAAGCATTTCTTCTTCTGCTTCTTACAATTTTGTTTTTTTTTTTTTTTTTGACTGCCTGGCAATTTCGGCATTTGACTTTTTTACGTCAGGCACTTGAGACGAGTCGCTGGATGGTGGAAGGTAGGAGAAGCGGGGCATGGGGGTGTCTGTGCTGGCTGGGGTGGCAGTCAACCAGTGCGCCACACACTGCCTCTAATGATGCCACTTATGTCGTGACGAAATATATTTATATATACATATTTTTATGAATACCCTGTAAACGGGAATAGTGCAGACGAAACATTCGTCTTCAATTTGTGTATATGAAAATATATGACAAGAGAAAAGTCCAGTGAAAAATGAATTCAAATGTTAAATTGATGAAGCTTTGTTTTAATGGCAGACTCTATTTTCATTGGAATGCAGCGTTTTTTACATAAATTATCATGTTGAGTACTATTAGATAGATATTATCCGGCTTTGCTTATCTAATTATATTTGCTTATACTATCTAATTTTTTGGATTTTGGTGGATTTACTAAAGCGATTTAAACCTAAATATTTCATCATGCTTTATGAGTAGAATTTTTTTAAAATTTTAATTTCTGTTTTAATTTCTTTAATTCCCTTCATTCCCTTCATCTCCACCTTCGAGCTATTTAAACTTTCTTGTATATTTTAATATCTTTCCCACGCATTTTCCATCCTTCCAAGTCAAACTCCTTAAAGCATCTTTTGCTGCGCTGCATATAGAAACTTAGGAGCTGGGCTGTACATTTTTGAGAAGCTTTTCATTTAAATCTTTTTTATTCTTAGCTCATTAATATTTTCTACAGGGTATACCAAAGTCGTGTACATTTTGATAGCAAAATAGTATTGTATTTTTTTTCTATGCGTTGCTTTTGTTGCTTTTATTTTTTGTGTAAATTTCGGCCGCTTTGGCTACCAATCCACGCCTCCTCATTGCGCACTTATATTTGAGCACATTTTCATTTTGATTTTTCTTCTTTTTTGGTTGCGTGCAAAAAATTGGCGACTGCTAATTGGCAGCACATAATTTACGTGCTTATGCCAATTTTCATTTCCCTTTTCAATTTCTGAGCTATTTTTATCGTGATTCTTGGGGCAAAAAGCGCTCTGTCTCTCTAGACTTTAAATATAAGCGAAATGCTCGATCCGCAATGCACCGCTCGGAGCTGCCATGTGTGAAGCAGCAAATGCAATTACGTGTATGGACTGCAGCACCACTCGATGGCCAGCAGGCACTTACAGATTTGATTAACTGCTTCCGTGCGTCATCGAGTTGGGTTTTGTAGCTAGAAGGTGCCCAGAGGTGACACGGCAACAGTCTGGCCGGGTTCGAGCATAGGTTGGGCAAAGGTTTGCTCCTGGGAGGGGGCCAAACTACGGCAACTACTCAATAAAACTCATTAGTGGCGTTTTGTCCAGGGCGCTGCTGCTGAGGCTCCTCCTCCTGGTCCAGGCAATGGCTGCTGCTGCTGCCGCTCTCCATAGCCTGGCTGGCAATTATCACCGGCATGGTCTCCATTGACTTTGGCAATTGATTGCAGCCGTTGTCGCCGCGGGTCGAGTGCTGCCAGCGACAGCATCAAAAGTGCCGATAAAAATTTATAGCAAACTGATTTGAAAGTCAATTATCCTGTGCCACCAAGGAGGAGCTAGTCAACTAACTATTCGGCGCAGACGACGCTCAACGGCGTGCAAATGGGTTTTCCATGCAAACTACGCCGGCGTCCTTCTGAGCATCCTACTACTACCGAACATCCTGCTACCTACCTTTTTTATGTTCTAGGTATTTACGTTTAGTTTTTGCCCTCAGTTCTAGGCGGACTGAAAGTTACACGAGCTGCCGCCACGCAAAAACTGTTGCCAGTTTCCCTCCTCCTCATCTTGCAGCTTCCCTCCAGCTGCTGACCAAGTGCTGTGCTGCTAATGAAGACAGTTCTTCATTTGTCTCGATCGTTGGTTGCAGTCATTAAAGGAGCTTTCTCCAGGTGCCTTCTCCTTAACATTCCTGCTATTTACTGCATCTCATCCTTGGCTTTGCCTAATGTTTATTAAGTTTTTTTTTTTGCGTCTGGCCATGTCTAGTGTTGTCTAGTGTGTGGCCCTCACCCCGCGCTGAACTAATGCCGCCTCGTGTCTCTGCATCTGTGTGCAGTTAATGAGTTTAATGGCGGACATCAAATTTGAATTGCTAATGCAGAGCCGCTCTCATGAAAACGGAAATGGAAATACGAATGGAAAAGCAATAGACGCATAGGAGGGCTTTTGGGGAGGGCCACTCCAAGTACTTATGACTTTTGTCATGTTGTCTGCAAAAATGTTTTTTTCTCATTTAAAGAGGAAATTAACAGCACATGAAAATGGTGCACACTAATTGCAGTTGGGTGCAGCGGGGGAATTGTCTAAACATATGCTTTATTTAGCAGGTTTTTGTTGTATGTGCTTGCCATAAAAATAGGAAAAACTTTTAAATAAAGCAATGATTAAATACCCATATATATATATACTTAGTACATGCACCATATTTTAAGATTTTAAGATTTTCACAGATAAGCTAGTGAACAAAAAAAGTCCTTTGAGCTTTTAATACGTACCATAACCAAAGGCTTTATGATTTGTACGACTAATGTTTATATACTGGTACCAAAAGTTGGATTTAATGAAGCCAATTGAAAAAATTATCTAGTTTGAACTTGTTTCAGATCAAGATATTTACATACTCTGACTATGTCATTAGCTACAATTTTGTTGACCCAAAACTGAAAGCCCCAAAGCAATTCCGTTTAGCCTTGATGAGATTTGATCTTATCTAAAGCGCGAACTGCCCATTTGCCAAGCGCCCTCCATAGACTCCAATGATATGACCACATACCATTGTTGGAGCCAGCTCTGCTGCTAAACTTATGTGCCACACACATATGTTGTTGTTGTGGTTGTGGCTAATGGCGGACTGTGGCCAAGTATTGCAGGTAATTTTTGCGATACGCATCTCACAATTGTTGTCAGTTTGTGGACTGGCGAAATGTATCTGTGGACTGTGTTCATAGTCTCAGGCTGTGTGCGGGCTAAATAATTTAAATTAAATTTGAAGTAATGTTATTGTTAGCATTACTGTTAATGTTATTGTTATTGTTATTGTTATCTTTTTATTTTATTTTTGTTCTGTGCGCAAACAACAACAAGGCCAAAGAACTTTGGTTTATTGTTTTTCCATTTGCTGTCATTGGACGTGGCCATCTTAGCGTCTGTCGCCAAGTGGCCAGGGGCGCCTTTGCTCTTGCCCTTGGGCTGCTTTTGCTTTTTGCTCTTTTTCTTACCGAGCAGCTCCTGCTCACCCATCTGCCCATCATCGTTGATGGTAATTTATGCGCTTGATTTATGATCTGTTGCATAGTTTTAGGCGCATTCATCAAGGCGTCTGAAGCGTGTTTTAAACGTTTGCGGCAAATGTTGGCATTGTTGTTGCAGTCTTTGGGGCATCATAAAATTAAATTAAATACACAAATTATTTTCATTTTAATTTTCATTAAATTTTTATGGGCCCGCACATTGTTGTTGCTTTGTTGTTGTTATCTCTGTGGGCCTGTGCCTCGTTTTTGCTTTTTTTTTCTGTTTATTTTGTTTTTTTCGTGCCGCCGCAATTACGACAAACAAATAAAAAGCAACAGCAACAGCAGCAACAGCAATAATAATGTCACAGGTAAAATGGCTGCGCGACAACACAAAATTTATGGGTCCATTGCTTGGGACTTGCACGGGGACCAAAAAAAAAAAAAGAAAAAAACGTACCCAGCGCAAATATTTAACGATTTGTGTAATTTTCATGTTGCTACAAATAGTCAACATATGTTTTAAATACACCAACAGCATATAACAATAACAATTTAATAGGCTTAAACGAATTAATCCACACGCACACAGACACACACACACACACCTGCACACACACACACAAACGATGTGCTCCCAAATCTCGAGCTGCATTTCAAGCTGCAATTCGATGTTTTATATATTTATATGCAATTGTTTCTGCTTAATTAAGCCAACTATCCGGCGCATTGCCCATGTCCATGTTTATGTCCATGTCGGTTGTCCGTAGCCATTGCCATTTGCCCAGTGAACATGTGTTGGC